AGAATTGAGAACTGCTACTACTAATTTTGTTCTTCAGCTGTGTTGTGGAATATGAATTGTGTCTTTAAAAAATGAGTATTACTGGTTATAATACAGTATAGGTTGGCGTTAATGAAGAAGTTCTTGGGATTGTTGCTCTTCAGATTTGTTGGAGCAAATAGCTGGCTTTAGTTTTTGAATTCCATTATTCTTATGTATATGATGATTTACCAGAGTTGATCAAGTAGCTTCCACCCCACCTTTCCTCCCCCGTGCCAGCCATTCAGGGGAGTGAAGGACATTTGCACATGTTTTAAAATGCCCTAGGAGCACTAGTGACTGGGAGTGGGCAAACTGGGGTCAGGTCCCTCAGTGTGGGTGTGGTATGGCAAATAGCAGGTGGGGAAATGGGCATGGTAGAGCAGTGAGGGTGTGGTGCAGCAGGGACCTGTGGTAAGTTGGTAAGTCAGTTTATGTGGCAGTCAGCACTGGCATCCTCCTGATGATGCGTTGTCTGGTAGATTGGTATTTTGGCTGTGGTTTTTTTTTTTGTTGCCATTTCTCTCACCCCCTTTTACTAGATCCAGTACTTATTTACAAATGGTCAAAAGCTCTTGCTGTTGCTACTTCCTGCAAGGGTTTGCTAACTAGACAGAACTCCCCCAAGAAGGAGGCAAGTGTCCAGACCACTGGCTGCAGGGTGTGTCTGAGCCTAGTGTTAGCACCAGGGGATGGAATAAAAAAAAAACCAAATAAACAAAAAAAAAAAAAACAAAAAAAAAAAAAAAAAAAACACAAAAACAAACACCCCAAAAAAACCAAAAAAAAAAAACCTGCCTATGGTGTAACCAGATGAGTGATTTGCTCTGTCTGGGGGCATAGCCTAAAGAAGAGGTGGAAGGGTCTAAGAAGTATTAGAGGAAGCGAAAGAGAAATCACCTGGGGGAGTAACACCCTTCCAACTGCAAGAGAAACTCAGAAGGTGTCAGAGGAGCTCTGCCCCTCTTGCTGCCAGGCAGATGGAGGAGACCTAGTAGATGGGGGGAATAAAGAGGTCCCTCCCCAACCCCCATTGCCTTCCCAGGTGCCCTTACAGAATTAGGTGTGACACTCTGGATCCAGAGGGTCAGGCAGATGATACTAAAGGAAAAAATGTGTCTGGAGTGTCTTCCAGTTGTACTTATTCTGTCAAATGGATCACAGCCTGAGGCCTTAAGAGTAAAGGAAGGGTGGTTGTAGTAGGTGACTCCTTTATAAGGGGAGCTGAGTATGTTGACTGGACCCACCCCCACAGGGGAAGTCTGCTGTCTCCCTGGGGCCCAGCTACAGGATATCACCAGGAGACTCCCTGAACTAATTCAGGTGATTGATTACCTACTTACTATTACCCAGATGTCTGATTATTACCCACTGTTCAAGTCTGCAGTGATGAGGTTGACAGCACCAGTGCAATTCAAAAGGTCTTTAAGGCTCTGGTTCAGTTGCTTCATGGGACAGGAGCACAGGTGATGTTTTGCCCTCTTTCGCCAATAGCACAGATGAATGATGAAAAGAACAGGAGACCCCATATTACCAGTAGCTGGCTTAAGGGCTGGTGCCATCAACTAATTTTGGTTTTTCTGATCATGGGGCAATTTTCACAGCAGCAGGCCTGTTTTGAGTCAGGGAGGCTTCATCTGTCTTAACAAAGATTCTAGGCCAGAGTTGGCAGGGCTGATTGATAGGGCTTTAAAATAGGTTTGAAGGGGGAAGGAGATGAAACCAGGCTTTCTAGAGAGGAGGCTGAGGGTGGTAGGCCAGAGTCAGCAGTGAAATCAGTCCAGCTGAAGTGCATGCACACAGATGCTTGTAGCGTGGGTAACAAGAGGAGCTGGAAGCTGTTGTACTGAAGGAAAACTGATGTAGTAGCTGTCACGGTAATGTGGTGGGATGACTTATGCGACTGGAGTGCTGCAATGGATGTCTGCTTGCTCTTCGGAAGGACTGGCAAGGGAGAAGAGGTGGAGGGGTCCCTTTGTATTTGAGAGAGGGTCTCGACACTACAGAGTGTATGATTAATGATAATAAGGTTGCGTGTCTATGGGCAAGGATCAGCAAAGGGCCAGCAAAGCTAAAATCCTGGTGGGTGTCTTACAGACCATCTAACCAGGATGAAGAGATGGATGAATTATTGTGTAAGCAGGTGGAGGATGTTTCAAGATCTTTAGGCCCTTGTTCATGTAGCAGAGTTTAACCTACCAAATAATCTGCTGGGAACTCAACACAGTGGAGAAGATGCAGTCTAGGAGCTTCTTGGAATGTATGGAGGACAGCTTTGTGTTACATCTGGGGAACTACAGGCCTGTTAGCCTGCCCTTCGTGCCCAGCAAAATTATGGAACAGATCATCTTGAGTGTGATCACATGGCACATACAGGATGGCCAAGGGATCAGACCCAGCCAACGTGGATTTTGGAGTGGCCATGTCCTGCTTAACTAATGTGATACCCTTTTGTGACCAAGTGACCCATCTAGTGGATGACGGGAATGCTCTGGATGTTGTCTACCTGGACTTCAGCAAAGCCTTTGACATCACCTCCCAAAGCATATACCTGCTGTCAGCTTATGGCTTGCTGGGTTAAGAACTGACTAGACAGCTGGGCCCAGAGAGTTGTGAATGGTGCTGCATCCAGTTGGTGAGCAGTAACTTGGTAGTGTCCCTCAGGGATCTATATTTGGCCCAGCTCTGTTTAATATCTTTGCTGATGATCTGGACAATGGCATTAATCTACCATTAGCAAATTTGCAGATGATACTAAATTGGGTGTGTGTTTTGATCTGCTGGAGTGCAGGAAGGCTCTGCAGAGGGACCCAGACAGGCTGGATTGATGGGCTGAATCCAGTGATATGCTACACAAGTCCAAGTGCTGGGTACTGCCATCGGGTCACAACAGTGCCCTGCAGCACTACAGGATGAGGCAAAGTGTCTGGACAGCAGACAGGCAGGAATTGAGCTAGGGGTACTGAACAGCCAGCTAAATATCAACCAATGTGGTCAAGAAGGTCGGTGGCATCCTGACTTGGATCAGCAATAGTGTGGCCAGGACAGTGACTGTCCCTTGTACTTGGCACTGGTTAGGCTGTACCTTGAGTACTGTGTCCAGTTCTGGGCCCCTCAGTTTAGGAAGGACCTTGAGATGCTGGAGCAAGTCCAAAGAAGGACAACAGGGCTGATGAAAGGTCTGGAGCACAGAGCCCTGTAGGGAGCAGTGAAGGGAGTTGCATGTGTTTAGTTGGAGAAAAGGAGGCTTAGGGGGAAACCATATCAGTCTCTACAACTGAAAGGAGGTTGTAGGCAGGTGAGGATCAGCCTTTTTTTCCCAGGCAGCTAGTGACTAGAGAAGAGGAAATAGTCTTAAGCTGCACCAGAGGAGGTTTAGGCTGGACATAATGAACATTAGCTTGACTGGGACTTTGAGCAGCATGATCTAGTGGGTGGCAACCCTGCCCGTAAGAAGGGAGGTTGTAACTAGGTGACCTTTGAGGTCTCTTCCAACCCAAACCGTTCTATCATTACTATGCATTTTCGGAAGTGTTCCTTGATATCTGAAGAACAATTGATTTGACTATATTTGGTTCAAATAATGATTTTTTTTTTTTAGTAAGTGTTGCATAGGCATCATGGTAATACTCATTGAGTGCATAAACATCATCCTTAATACATGATAGCAATTAATTTCTGTTAAAAAACAAGTAGCTTTTTTACAAAACCAGCACAGTTTCTATTCTTTCAAAAAAATTAAGACCATTTTCCCACCTTTTGGACTGAATCTTATTATGTTAGGGAAATGTTAGGCTTGTTTGAGTAAGCAAGAAAGCAGCATTTGGGTGCAGGGTATTGATGGCAAGCAGTTTTGCTGTAGACTCTCTGGCAGCAATTATGAAGTAACTTGCAAGCTGTATTTAAGGTCTGTTGTTTTTATGGATACTTAGGATACTGTCTTTTTTGTGTCAGCCTTTAAGATGTAGTTTTTATTTGTTGATGTGGAAAAACTGAACTGACTGACATATTGGTGTACACCAGGCATTGGTGGAGAAGAACCCACAGGTGCTGTACTAGGAGAACTTCATGGTGTCCTGTACCAGCTGATTCTCTTTATTTTCATGGTATGATAGAACAGCTAAATGCTTTCTGGCAAAAAAGTATCTCTTGTCTTCATTTTTTTTTATATATTTAGGAAAATCACTTTGTTATATTGTACTTTTTATAGGAATAAAATGAGTGAGAAAAACACTTACCAGATATAAGGTGGTTGACGTGCACATCAGAATGAGGCAAACTTGAGTAATTGTGTGCTATGCTGTACTGCAGGTTTTCAAGAAGGAATTGAAGAA